TATTAATTAATCTTCGGTTTGAGATTATAAAAGATTTTGTTTCATTCAGTTTTTTTAAAAATTAATTTTTTCGAGACTAAAAATAAGAAGATTTCTTAAAATTAAAAAAAATACGGAATATAAATATTTTAATCTTTATTAATCTCTAAAAAAATTAAATAAAGAAAATTAAAGTTTCATTTTTATTAAACATATTTTAATCTAATTAACAAAAATTAAAGGTTAATTGTCATTCTTAGTTACTATCTTGTAGGTTTGACAGTAAGATCCCAATCAATCAGATTTCTTTGGACTTCAAAATCCAGCCAATTAGAGATTTATCCTAATCTAGTTATGCCTATTCTTCAGGTTGGCTCCCATCGCTTTAATTATTATTAACGTTTTTTTTTAATTAGATTGCATTTGATCGAGAACAGAACAAATATATGATCGTATTACAATCATCAAATGTCGATTTTGCATTATTTAATTTATTATTTAATTATGGTATTTTTTCATCTCAAATTCAAATTGATTCAAAATCTCATTTTAACAGTAAGATTTATTTAAAAACGAAAATTTTTTAAAATAATTCAAATTTTTTTATAGATATACGCAACTATGCTGATGTAAAAGTTACTCAAGACAAAGCAAACATAACAAGAACAACAATTTCCACTGATCATTTATCATCTTGTTATTGTTTTTTGTTAAATTTCCATTTTGGTGGTCGTCCTTATTCTTATTTAAATCATCATGCGAAATTTTTTAATCTGAAAATATCAGCACCAAATTTACTTGCAATCTTATTAGGAAATATTGTGATTGATATAAAGAGAATTTTATCTGGAAAACAATTAAGTGTAGTAAGAACAATCAATATTATTCAACTCAAACATTTAAAATTATTTATTTGTGGTGGTGTTTGTCAAGATAATGACGTTATAAGAAATGCATTTTCATTATTACTCGATCCAGATGAATCAACATCAAGCTTAATATCCAACTTATTTGACAAGGAATCCAAATATTTATTTGATAATTTATCAAACAATACAATAATAATCAATCCCATCACGTATTTACAAACTTCTGCAGAACTTCAACAAGCACGTGGTGAGTTAATTGATAAAATACAGGTTGAGTATGTCATTTTAAATAGTTTTATGTAGCTTGCTGTATTCATGTAAAACATCGAAAGTTTCTTATTTTGATACAGTTAGATAGAGAATCGATTGTTCTATCGAACCATATGATTTACATTTTATCTCTTTTGGTTCTAGTCCAAAAAATTGATAAATCTCAAAAGTAGTCAAAAAAAGTTTTTTAAGGAAGCAAGTTTCAGATAATGGCTAGGAATGGATAAATAGCCGTGTTTTGCATCTTTTTGCATGTTTTATTAAAAACAAAATATACCAGAAGATGCAGCATGAAGAGTTCTGCAATTTACATAAGACCGATTGCTTTATACTTTTGATTTTTCTTTTTTAAATGGGAAAAATTTTGAGCGTCCAAACTTCGATCGTGCGAAAATTCGTCCGACAGCATCTTTTTTTTTTATTTTGTTTAAACAATTTCAATAAGCTTTACTGTCTAAATTGTAGAGCTTTTCACACTGCATCTTTTGGCATATATTGCTTTTTTTTACGGAGATATATTAGGTGATAAAAATATGAAATTAAATAAACGAATATTTGTTCATGTAAAAAAAATGATTTTTTTTGCGATGGCGAAAGTTGGTCGCACCGAATTTTGCTTTTCTGAAAACAAAAGGTGTACAATTAAAATAAGGTTTACCATGTAGATTGTAGAGCTTTTTATGTTGCATCTTCTGGTATATTTTGTTTTTAATAAAACAAGCACAAATAAAGCATAAAACGCAGCCATTTATCCTACTCCCAGCCATCATTTGAAACTTGCTTCCTTAAAAAATTTTTTTGACTACTTTTGAGATTTATCAATTTTTTGGACTAGAACCAAAAGAGATAAAATGTAAATCATATGGTTCGATAGAGCAATCGATTCTCTATCTAACTGTATCAAAATAAGAAACTTTCGATGTTTTACATGAATACAGCAAGCTACATAAAACTATTAAAAATAACGTAATCAACCTGTATATGTCTATAGATCATTTCTACATACATCATTGTGAAACAAACATATACATCCTTCCTATGATTGATTATTTGATTGCAGATGACCTGTCCATGTAGCTAGTTCTGCTGTTTATCTCAATCCTCTCCATCCATCGAAATTCCTAGCAACAACTACAACATCATCATCCCCCAACAACCTCAATCTGTAAATAAAAATATTCAAAAAAATCTTAATAAGATATTATTCATTTTCTAGGTCCATCAGTTCCCAATGACAACACAACACCCTCTCAATTCATCGTCGTCTTCGTGTGAGACAAAGATAAGCATATTCTTTAGTTTAAATTTTCACTTAAAATTTAAAAAAAATATTCTATAGGTCAGCGAAGAGCTTGCCTTTGTCAACACCTCACCATCAAACGCTTCTTCGCCCAATATTTTACCAACCACCACAATGCCTCAACAGTTTTCTCGAAGAGGTTTGAGATCTCCCATTCGACGTCGTCCTCCTACCACCATCACCATCACCATCATTACTTCAATTATCACCACCATTACTTCCATCCAGTGGCGTAGCCAGGATTTTGGGCTATAGGGAGCTCAACCCCCTATATGGATCTTTGAGCCCCTCCTAAGAAACAAAATACATATATAAAAATTTTTTCTAGGGGTAGCTGAAAGGTTCGGTGAAGGGGCACAGTCCCTCCTGGTCAGCCCCTGGCTGTGCCACTGCTTCCATCACTACCAATATATAAACTTGCTTGATTTTTTCGATTGTTTAATCAATGAAAATTTCATTATGAATTCAATAAATAATTAGAATTGCTGTTGTTGTTGTTAAAAAAAAGAAAAAAAAATTATGATTCAAACTAATATTCAAAGAATTAAAAGAAATATATTCGAATAATGATTAATTAATAATTGAAATAAAGAAAGAGAAGAGAAACAACGGTGCGGGTGTGGGGATAACAGCCTAGAATGTCCTTTAAAAAATGTCCTCGTATTTTTGTCCTTAAAAAAATGTCCTTTCAGTAAACGTTGAAGAATGGTTGATAATAATGTTCACCAAACAATTTTACTTGTAATAACGAATTAATTTTTATTTTATTTTTCATTTGCAACAAAAAAAGAAAGTGCGCATAATAAATCTTGTTCTGTGATTTTGTTACTGTTGAACCGATCATATAATTCTTTGATTCATTGTTCAGCAATTCGAGATTGAGATCATTTTGTACGAGGTTGCATACCACTATTTATTTGAAGAATTAAATCATGCATTGTATGGATTTCTTTTCTAATTGAATCGATAAACAACCATATATTGAAATGAGCTTTTTGTAAATGTCTTATGAATCTATGATTATATCCTAAAAATATGGCACAATCTAGTTATTAAAACTACTACTTCCGCTTTACATGCCTTTACTGGAATTATTCGTTTTATCAGGAATGTCGAAAACATTTGTCATAGAAAACATCTATCGTTTATGATATTGAAAATGAAAACATCTCTATTATGGTTAGTTTTTCATGAACTTTCCAATGGTACTATTTTCATTCGAAGAAAAGTTAATCGATAAATAGAACGAAAAAACTCTCAAAGCTCTTTTCTGCTGGAGATTTTATGATTGATGCTATTCTGCTAGTGTCAAAGAGGAATAATTCCTCTCCTCAATATAATATGAAAGCTCGATCAATAACAGTGCTAGACATATACTAAAAGCTAAAGTCAACTTAAACATAAAGTATTGGAGAACTATTTTTTCGAATGGCCCAGAACATTCTGTAAGAGCTGCATCATCGGCTAAATTGAATCATAAAAATCACATATTAAAGAAAGACGGATAAAAAATAGGGAGATTGATCGTAAAAGATTAGACATACATATCTATTTCTACGTATGAAAAAAAGATGTTGTGCTGAGAGGTGGAAATAGTTAAAGAATAAAATAGTTTCTTTTCTATTCCATTCTCTTCTAACTATAACTTAGACTAACCATATTCTATGCCATACCATCTTCAGTTGTATATTCATGGTAAAAAGTCTGAAAACTTATACTTGAATTTCGTTGATTCTACAATGAAATTAATCTGAAATTACATGTGATCATTGTTGAATCATCATAAGTTTATCAAGAGAAAATTCGTTTTATTATTGAAGATTTATGAATATAAGTCATTCTGAAAATCTTTTCTTCTCAATCACATATACATAAAAACTTGAACTGCTACAGAAAATACAAAATATTACTGCAAAAAAATTATTCAAGCGATATTTTAGTTTAGATCCGTCAAAATGAATTTCTTAACGATCATAAAGGACAAGACAACGCAATTCAATACTAATTTGTTCAACATTCATTAAAGGTACATTCTCATTCTTGAAAGCTGTATGAGCACCAAATTGAGCAACGTCGGACTTGCTATCAAATATTTTGAAGACAAACATTTCATCTGACCGCATCTGACTCAGATAGTACCACTTGTGAGAATCTGGGCTGTTGCACGAGATCGCGTAATTCGAAATAGTAACCTCATTCGGTGAATTGTAAACAGTTCCCGCATGAACATCATTGTGAGGATCTAACGAACAATAATCACAGATGGTCAAAGGAGTATTGATAATAGGATTGGGACCCAATGGTCGCCAAATATTAATAATTTGAAAACGATTTTGCATCACTTTGTTAGCTTCCTCTTCACCAAGTATTCGTTCCACTTTGAAGCGAGCTGAAGGCGGATCATGATCGACGTGTGGAGAAAAGATAGGATTCCTGTGGGTCGAATCACACTGATCGGCCGAAAGATTTGGCCCACGAAAACGATTTATATGGTTGAAGACGATTACACGAGAAGCATTCAGACGCTTCTTGAGAACAGTAGCAATTTCTTCATAGAAACGTCGTTGTATTTCACTATTGTCAACAAATATTTCATGCATAAGGCCATCATATTTGAGTATTTCAAAACCATTAGTGTCGAGATCGACAGTGTTCTCTTTACCTCGCAAATCTTGAATGGTAACGCGAACTGATGTTTGTGCATGATTTGTGGTGTTATAGCCCAATTTAGCACCTGCATCCATCCATTGAGGAGAACCATCTATCGTGTGACTAAAGTAATTAATTTCTCCAGTGATATCACCACCCATTTCTAAATAAACGAAATAGAACTGACATGAAACAAGTGAGTGAATGCAACAAAAGAGATAATGAAAGAAAAGCAGTTCTCTCTCTCTCTCTCTCTCTCTCTCCTTTTTATCTTATGTCAAGATAGAAGGCTGTTAAAAACGGGTGAAATAACTATTACGCACTGGTGGTGCAAAGTGCTTTTGTCGTACTGTAAGTGATACCGAGTGACCTATAATAAACAGGTCAAAATATCCTCGCATTTTTGACACATTTTCTTTTCAATTAACCTTTGATCTCTTGGCTGATTCGAACGAGAATTCAAAGTTCTACAAAACTACCTATTTCATTTGTTTCTATATGTCCGTTTTTCTACGATAAGATTTGAAGTAATAGCGAAGGCAAAATATTCACACTGCTATTGAAAATTTTGTAGGAAAAGTTCTGAGAGTGTAGAAGGTTTCTTGACAGTGTGGGTGTGGAATGTAGGTGTGGGGATCTCTTAACGCACACTCATGCACACCCACACCGCTGGGCCCAATTCAACTTTATTTCAGTCCGACTTGGTTCGGTTCGGTTAATTTCTATGCCCACTCGGCTTGGGTCTGAAGGATATTTCTTTGATAAAGGTTTTTTGCAATAGAATTTGGAGATAATCTCAATAATCATCAAAATTGAAATGAAGTCCACACAAGATAAGTTGATTTCCTGGTTGAGTCAAATGAACAAAGAAAATATGTTGAAATCTGTAGGAACTCAATAGTGATCATTATGCATAACTCGACATTCTTTGGTGTAAAATATTTTGTTAGGACAAACCTATGCAGAAATGCACCATTTTTCTGGATGAAAATTTTTTTCGATTTTAACTATCTATTGAGGTAAGATGTAGTGCAAAATGCGCGAATATAAAACTCTGATACCTTGCATCTGGAGATCCAGCTCATTCTTTAGAAACAACTCGGCTTTTACGTATAACCAAATTTGTTAGTTTCCCAAACTCTCGGTATCAGTATTTTTTCGTTTTATATACACACTATTTTCGACCACGAGCTATCTCACTAGATGATCAAAATCGAGAGGAAGCTTTCTTTCAAGAAAATGGCACAAAGCCTATAGGACTGCTCGATTTCAAACAGATCACTTTTACTCAGTCTTTTCAGTATTTGCATGTTGTTTTTTATCACATGGCATGTGATGCAATAGAAAGATTCTTTTTATTCTGTTTTTACGACGCACAACAGAGATTGTGTTGCAAGCATAGTGTGGTATAAGCAAATAGTAACGCACATCCATGCCTCTGTCTACATTTGACGAAGGGTAACTTGTTTTATCATTCTTTCAACTTTTGGACGAAAAAAAACGAGAATATCATTCGTTTGATTGTATAATAACAAACTGTTGACGTTCTCAGGTATTTCATATAAGTTGTTCAACATCCAATAATAGTTGTTGCTTAGATTCGGTTTTTCATTGAGATCACTTTTTGTTTCAAAATTTTCGATTAGGATCGAGAGTAACGACAGCATGTCTAAGCACAGATATTGAAAAAAATGACAACTCATGCATAGTCTAAAAACATCTTATATTTACATTAAAAAAGATTTGTTTAGTATACGCTGTTAGAAACTTTGACGTTTCGCAAACAACATACATGAAGGATACATTCAATCGATGGACATCTGAGAAAAATGTCTAAGCAGGTCTACCACACTTTCTGCTTTTTTTACAACTGCATGCAACAACTTTATCTCAAAAAGAACATCTAATATTTTACGATCATATTACTGAACTCAAATTAGACTGTGGTAGTGCTTATTTGTGCCCATATAAAAATGTTCGAAAACTTTTACTCTTGACTTCGAAGTATCAGAAGCAAATGCTTAATTTATCTAAAGTCGAATTTCTGACTATAGAAACAACGAAATGGACATTGGACACAATTGTTCAACTCATCGATCAATCGATGCCTCGATTAACTCATCTGAAAACCGCTCGTTTATTATGGACAAAATCTAGTCCTATCAATCCGATTCCTCTATTCAACATGCGCACATTGGAAATATCGTACTTGTCAAAATCACATTATGATGAAGAACAACTCAATTACACTGAACTTTTTCCACATGTCGAGCGGTTAATCATTGATGTTCATACTTGTCATTAAATGACAATTTTAATTGATCGATTTGGATATTTATCGAATGGTTCATTCGTTGTTGCTAATTGCAAGATCAATAAAAAAGAACATCGACATAAACCTCTAGTAACACGATAATGGTTTGTTGACAATACATATCGTCTGTTGACCGATCAGAATTTCATCTGTCGAATCGACGATGAATATCCCTCATGAATTTATTTATGGATCGGTGATAATGACCGAAAAATGAAGAGGAAGAAGAGGACAAGTTGGTGGTGTAGATGTTTACCGTTCGGTTCGTTAAAATAGTCGATGTTCAGCTTTAATGGGACCGTTCTTGGGACCTGTTTTGCACTTTTGAGATCTTGTTTTGTCATATGTTTACTCGCGAGTATAAGTAAATTTTCAAGTCCTCCTCATCTTCAGATGATTTCTAATAAGTTGAGTCCGTATGTGAAAATGGTAAAACTACTGGATGATGTATTTCATTGTCATTAATCGAATTGACAGTTTTCAGATTCTTTGTGTCGTACCTCAAAAATCATTGGAAAATCCTAAATTCAAAATGAAACTAATTGAGTGTACCCGAGAGTTTTCTTCGGTAATTTCCAAAATCACTTTTATTGTTGATACTGCAGATAATTTCTTCGTACAGTTATGGAACACTCTTCTTCATCAACTTCTTTTGATCATACCAGTAAGAAGAGAGTTATGGTTCAGCCAAGTTATATTGAAACCAGCGAGCAAGATTTTCCCATTGTGACTGTTGAAAGACTTCAGACAAAGAAGATAAAAGCATCAACTGAAGTAAGTCACTCTGTCTCTTGATATTTCTTTGCAAGTTCGAATTCTTTCTAGATAAAAGTTCTTTCACATCAATCTGCCTCCTCTCTTCTTATTATTTCGGTAAATATAGTGGCATATGGACGTCAATACAGATGAATTTTTCTTTTCAAAGGGAGGACAGACAGGAGTTGATCGATTAGCATTGGAAGTAGCAAGAGATCTAGGTATTCGAACTGGAGGAACTGCCCCGAAAGGCTTTCTTATTCGGAACAAACTTGGAAAGGATGTCTCTGATTTCTCGCTCAAGGACTTTGGATTGAAGGAGCATTCGTCATCAAATTATTCTCCTCGAACCAAAGCAAATGTGGACAATTCGGACGTGACAATTGCAATTCGACTTCATTCCTCTTCAGGTACGGACTGCACGATTGGATATGCTTCGACAGAAAGATGGAAGAAAGCATCAAAGACGAACGATGAAGGTTATAAACCCGTTTTCGTTGTTGATTCTCTTTCAACGTCTCAATCTGAAGAAATCTTGAAGTTTTTGCAACGTCACCAGCCGTGTACCATTAATGTCGCCGGTCATCGAGAATGTCCTGAGTCTCCAAACTTTTTGGAAGATGTAAAGAAACTTTTGTCGGTGTCATTTCAGTTGTATCGAGATTCTTTCGAATAAAATATTTCATTTGGTATCTCTTTTCAATTGTTGATATCAATGTATTATCATACAGCAAAAATTGAACTACAAGAAGCAAATTAAAGAAGCCATCTTTTGCGACCCATATTTGTCTATACATATCTGGAAGAAGGAGTTCCAGAGGCAGAGTCAGAGGTTTATTCTTCCCTCGTGTCTTGCTTCTATTGCAATCGGTGCAAATCCCCAAGTTTATTGAATACGTGACAATTAAAAAAAACGATTAATGCAGACGCTGTTTGATTCGTTTCTTGTGATGTTCAGTATTTTGTTTTTCTGACAACACCTTTTATGAATATCATTGATTCGTTATATTCATGAAATGTTCGATTGATTTCCATCACAATTTGTGTGTGACAGTAAACTTCTTGGCACGATTCTTCTCGATTATCGATCAGTGTCAAAGTGAAGCGATTATTTACTGAAATAATAAAGATTCATCGACGATCATCGACTAGACAATAATCAAATGGTCTACCGTCAAGATGTTGTTTATCATCACATCGATCGCTCTTTTCACAGGGTGTGGATGTGAGAGCAATTCTTCTTTCATCGAAACCCGCACTCGCACCCACACCCACACCATCTTGTCCCCGATAACCTATAGAAAAGTTTCATCAGAATGGCCAAAAACCTAAAAATAGAAAAGCTCGTTTCTGATTGGCTTGGACAGACAGACAAACATACATACATTTTCCGAATCTAGAACCCTTTCTTTCAGAAAAGGGAATAATCACTCATCCTTTATTTTAAGAATAAGAAACAAATACATATGTACACTCAAAAGTTACTCATATATCATCGCAATCTATTAAACTTCATTTGGAGGCGAATTGTTCGTTTGTTTATTAATTAAGTTCGTCATAACTAATTCAATACCACTCTGTTCAAATTCATTCTGTAGTTTTTCTAATTGATCATTAAATGTTTGTGATGAGTCAGTCGATAATAGACCCAGGAAATTATCAATTTTTGTCTAATCTGGACGCTGTCGATTGAATTTGAACTAACCACTAAAACAATTAAAAATAGAAATTACCTACATTCAATTATTCGTCTAACTGACTTGAATTACATCTGGTACATTCGCATTTAGAAATTCTGTGTACATTTGACCTTGATCATGTTGATTATCGAGAAAGGAAATAAATACTAATTTAGCTGGATAAACTTCTGAACGATACTTCATAAATAAATTAAAGAATCGTGTTGGTGTGCCATCAGCCGTATGAACATCTGTATTTTCTATTTCATCTGTTACCATAATAAATGTTTTAATGATTTCTTTATTATCATAATATGATACTAAACCAGCAGCATTAGCTGTTAAACCGTGAGCTTTTGTTGTCAATGCTAATGTAAGAACATCATCAATAGTTTTTGGTGTAAATGCTGGTAAAAACATTCCAGTATGGAAAAAGTTCAATTTAGCTGAGCAAACTGCTGTTAATAAGGACGCTAAGATTGTCGCTGTACGAATAGCAACATCCATTGAATATGATGCATCTACCATGACAGCTACTGGTGATTCTAATGGTAATTTTATTTTTGCAAGTTAACTTTCAGCAACTGATAATAAATAAGAATAGCATTTATTTTTGCTCGATTGTACTAAATTTTGATCTTGAACATTACCAACGGCTGCTATTTCACTTGGAGTATCTCTCAACTTTCGAAGAATTAACAGACGTTCCATTAGTTTACCGTATGGTAAATTAATTTCTTCACCATTTTCTAGTCTTTCACTGATAATGTCATCAACATCAGGACATTGTAAATCTTCGTAATACCATAAAATTGTATCCAATTTCTCTTCGTACGCTGCAATTTTCGCTTTTGATCTATCATGTAAATGATCTTTAAATTGTTTTAAGTGTGAATAAGGAATTTTAAATTCTTTAATTATATCATTCACATTTTCGTTTGTTAAAGTTTGACAACGAGCTACCATTGTTTCTTCCAATGCTGGTGTACCAAAGCAGGATGGTAAAAACCATGGTAAGCCAGGAAAATCTCTGCTTGGATTAAAATGAATGATATTAGCTAATTTTTTCCATGGTTCAGTTGGCATATGGAGTGCAAAATATTCGTGTTCTTGTCGAGTTAATGTTCGAGTCCAATGCTGAATATGTCGAGCCACAGCGCCACTGACTGATCCAGATGACGCTTTAAGTCTATTAAGATTGTCGATATGATTTTTTATTTTACCCAATGTTGTTACTTTTGGCTTTGTTTTGCTTAATTCAAGACGTTTTATTTGTTTCTCATAAGCACGAAGTTGTCGACCAGCATCTAACATCATTACTGCTCTCAGTACTTCAGTTAGAGTAAATAATCGTCGATGACGTAAAAGATTATTGGCTAAAGTATGATCATGACGGGACCAAGCTGCAGCCAATACACATGCTTTAGCTTTCTGACCAATTTCCACACTGTTTTCATTAAGTGTGAATAACGCAGCGACATAACGAGGCAAGTTCGTCGTTTGTGCTTGAATATGTTGGTCTAGAGTAACATTTGGATTCATAAAAAATGGTTTTGGATCAGCATTGATATCAAGATCGGCTAAGAAATTCACTGATACTGTTTGTTGATCATTAACATCCATGGAGTCTGATCGCTCATTGTGTAACCTTCGGCTACCATAAGATTGACCACGGCCACGTACATATCCACGACCACCTCTGATACCACGGCCTCTCTCGTATCCACGTCCACGTCCACGAACCACTACATTGACGATTTTAATAAAAACTATATACAAATATACAACAATCTTTGACTTATTTTTATTATATTAGATGTAAACTTAATATCAGTGGCTCAACTAATCAGATTTACAAGAGTTGAGTGTCGAAATAGTTTGTTTTTTCTTTAATAAATTTTGTGAAATGATTATTTGCTGTACGTTCGTGGTTTTTAATATAACAAAACTAATTGCACAACGATGTCGTCATTACATGTAATACTGACAAAATATTGATGCAATGCTTACAAAAAACATTAATAGTATGAAATAATGCAAAAGTATTTCATCAATGGTAATAGAAGAGTATGACACACTTCCTCGGAAATGTCTTGTAATTAGTTATTACATAGTTTTTTTCATGTACAGTATCATGAAGACATCTATGATACTTACCATTTGGGTGTTGGCGGTGCGTGACTCTAACATACAGATTTACTCTCACTTTCATATTGACAGCTACAGTCGCAGCTAAGGGTGTGAGTGTCGGTGTTGTTCTGTCAGTCACACTCACATCCACACCCCAAAACGTTTCAAAGTCGTCTTTCTTCTTGATCGCAAATCACTCTTGGAAAAGATATTTATTTGGTATCCTTTTCAAAACTCAAGAAAATAATTCGTGTTTATTTAAAAGAAAAAGAGTGAACAATTAGTGAGATGTATACATGACTTTTCTTGAAATCGAATGTAATCTATTAGAGATTTATTAAATAAATAAAAAGAAAAATACTAAATGACATGTC